CCTGCACTACATCAAAAAACTCCAGGAAATCTACGGTAATTTTTCTAGAACACCTTATTAGAACATGTTTCTAGAACATGCTATCATGGAATAATGAGCAAGCACGGAATTTATGAGAGATGTAAGAACAATTCCTGCTTTTACTAACTTCATCAGAAGCAAGAGCAGGCTAATAGGCAAGCAAGGAAAAATATTCATGTATGTTTCATTTCCTATCCAAATGTGAGTGTGTAATAAAGATATTATATATTTTTTCTATCTAAAGTGGGCTCACAACTGTTAATGAGAAACATTGTCAAAACGTCATTCTAGTGTGGCAAGGAATCAGGTGCATCAGCTAAGGGAGGAATGCTGGAATAAAGGACAGATACATCATCTCAGCACAAACCATCTAGGAACACAGCACCCATGTTATACCTAATATAACTAAGTGATATCTCTATCATCTGTACTAGAAATCTGGATTCCCTCACTGACTTTCACAACAAATTTTAATAAGCATCGCCTCAGTATCAGATTGCCTCTGGAACACTTCTGTACCAACATACTTGTCCTAGGTGCTACAATTAACATCAAAAATAGTAACTTACAAAGTATGAACGACCATAAATCAGTGTTGCTACTTCCATAAAACTGGTAACCATCTCAAACACTCTCCAAAAGCAGTAAAACACTCCCTGACCTTCAGACACTACCCTATTTGCTCTGGGAAAAACACTTGCATGTCTTATCTCCCTAATGTAAAAAGGACTTTTCTACAGAGAAAATACACCGTGAGATAGAATTTACAGGGAATCTGACAAATTACATCCTATGCAGGAATAAGTTATCTGAAAAGTACCTTTCAAAAACCTTTTCAGACACTTGGAATGAAAATGGAGCAAGCGGAGCTAGGTATTTCACAACAGATCTGAATGTTGCAATTTCTCATCTCCACACATGATTCACATCACAGTAAACACTTTTCACAACAAAGCGATCTAAATATCATGTTCCCACTCTTACATATCCTAATATAAACTTCTACAAAAGTCTACTTAGTAGACTAAATGCCACCAAGCTATTAAATGCTCTAATGAAAACACACATAATTACACACTAATATGGACTTTCATGAACATTTATTAAAGGACAGGAAGGGACAGTGGGGTAACATTTCTCAAAAAACAATCACTTCACCTCTCACTTCTTGGTCACGATCTACAAAGACAGCTTCAAAAGACGTGCATCCTCCTTAGCTCATGACTACTGCCTATCTTCATTTTCCCTCTGATTATCTCAGTATCTAAATAAAGTCAGAGGAACTCAGCTGGTATCTAGCTTTGAAGACTATTGCCTGTATTTCACACTTGAAGGAATTGTATGCCCAGAAGGGGTTTTTTTTACATTTTCTTGTTTATACATAAAAAAGTTAGCTCTATCTGCAATTATCCCTTTAATTATTTCTGAATTGCAGCACACCGTAACTCTGAAAGATGGATTCCTTACCCCTCAAGCCAGTAGACCTCCAGGTCAGAAAGCTGCTGCTGATAGTTTTATATTCCCATAAACCAAGCTGTGGAAATAATGATGAGAGAAAAACACTTGCAGTGTCTTCTTGACTTCTTGCCAACAGAGTATTTTTGTTCAAATTTTTGTAAATTATTCCATAATTCTTCAATTTCTAGCCTTTTCAATTTTAGAATCTTTGATTCCTTCTGATTAAACCCACTACAATATCTTTTTCATCTCAATAGTTAAGTGGTATGTTTCTTGGCACTTGGATGGCACATTTAAACTACAAACATTTTTTGTTACTTGTTCAGGGCATGTTCCCACTAATTTACACTAACTGAAAAATGAAAGGCAAAATATCTACTCAGCATTGAGAATTCCGGCACAAATAGAAAGCTGATCTCCTGTGTTAATACAGCTGCTTTTGTTACCATTCTACTTTGGTATATGTTGTTGTTATCAACAACTTAGCTAATAAGTACTAAATGATTTTCTATAACCATATATTAATTTAAAGCGGATGTAGTCAGTGCAAAAATTTAAGATTGATGTGCAAAAATGCATTTCACATATTTTATTGTTCAGTAAAACACATTACATATATAAACATGCAGTCATTTGATAATCTGAAGTTACGCACCTCTTTCTATTAACTCTAATGTCATTCTGTTGTAATGATAATGTAAGAAGTAAGTATGTCTTTTAAATCATCTATAGGGGAATGAAAGTCAAATTTGTAGCTGTCATTTATTCAGCAGAAGTTGAAGTGTATTGTTACTGAAGTTTAATTAATTTATTTCCCAACTGCTTAAACACAAAGAGGATTTGTCCATTCTATATGTAACCCAGAACTGAAAACAAAAGGAAAATTGTGCCCTCAGTTGCATTTGCAGGAACCCAGTGCATTTTCTGGGGTTTCTTTCCACAGTGTTCCTGGCATTTGTTTCTGCTATACTTACTTCCAGTGGAAAACTTCAGTGGTTCCTCCTTGCATCCTCTCCTACACATTCTGGATTGTGAAACAGGCTGTATGATAAAGGAAAAAGTAACTACATAACCTCTCACTTCTCATTTTGTCCAAGTGGCCTGTTAGATTTTAGAATAGAGATCCTTCCTTTCACAATTGTCAGTGTTGCTACCGATGGGCAAGTGGACTTCAACAGAGTAAATGTCCCAAGAATTTACAGGCCTTGGTGGTCCAGCAGCAGGAACATCACAAGCCAGCAATTTTAAGGCAATGGCTGAGATGGATAATGTTGTTTTTATGACATACAACGTACTGTCAAGTCATTGACCTACAGATTTGTGTTTGAAGGTATGTGAAGTCATATGTATGAGTTCAGTTTTTGTTCTGTTTACCAACGTGATGAAGTTTATGAGTGTTTTTTTGTTGTGTTTTTTTTTTACTGTTACAATGTATTAGAAAAGCAATCAAAAAAAATAGTTAGCCTTAAGAGTGCTCAGGCCAGAGAGTCTTACCAGCACACATCTAAAGAGTATCCTATATATGATGATCAATTGGTACACTTCTATTTTTAATGAAGGTATAATGTACACTGGATACATTTTATTAATACAGGTATTCTACGAAACTAATGGTACAGTTAACAACTTTACAGCCTTTAAGAAATAGAAGCAGGCTCTTGTTGACTCTGCTCTTCCAGAAAAAGAGGAAACCATCAATAATCTCTCCCATTTCTACCTTTGCCTCTACATGAAGTCTATACAGCATACCATTTTTGTGCTAATAATGGTAAAAGATAGATTTGTGGTGGAGGAATTAATTACGACCTGAGAAAAGCAGATACCTGTATCACAGATAAAGGTGATTAATTCAGTTACAAACCTGCATTCATTTTGCTGTGCCAAGACACTTACTGTTTTGTGAACAGCAGTTTGACAGAAAGCAAACACAAAGGAATTCACATATAAAAAATGCAAAGGCTGTCCCTTCATCTCACAGTTTTCCAGTCAGCTTATAGTATCCAGATTTTCATTTCTTCAAAGAAAAGAAAAAATTAACTCACTATCAAGTTAATAGCAAACAATAAATCACACAGATAGCAGAATATAACATTCACGTCTCCTTTCATATATAAACTTTTGCTTTTAAGTGTTATCTACAATAACATACATGATTACCAGACCAAATAGCCCATATAAACTATGCAGAAAATATCATCTTTATTTACAGGATTCTAATTAAAATGAACTTTAACTGTGTTTGAAATCTGCAACAACCCTTATCGCTCAGAGCTAGACCACAGACGAGCTTTATGCTGCTGGGGAGACCTCTAAGGAGGAAGATGCCCCTCACACATATGAAGAAAGCATTGTTCGTACAAAGATCTGGCTTGCTTGCTTCTGGAAGAGGTGGGAATAATCTTGCAAATCATCACGCTCTCACCAGGTGTCAAGTTTTGTTACCTATTCCACCCTTCAGGCTTTACAATTATATGCTACCTTTTGTTTAAGTGAACTCTAAAATTGCTCTTCGAGCCCTCAGTGGTGTTCTGCCAATACATTGTGAAATTTAGGAAAAAAAAATAACCAACAAACCAAAAAAACTAACACAAATCAACAAAAAATGCCTAGACATCCTTTCATACTGTTTGAGTTTCTACATATACTCATTATCTTCTAGCACTGTTGGTAATCACAGCTACAAAAAATAAGCAGAGAATATCAGGAATATATCATGTTATTTTATAGCCACTTCTATAACCATGTAATTTGCTTCATAGTTAATTTACTGAATTCCAATATCTGTTCTAAAGAAAAACAACTGGTCTGGGTTGTATAAAACTGCTACCTTTGAGACCCAGGAAATCCCACACTGCTTTACCGAGCATGAATTACATACCAGAAGAATCATTCCTTGAAAACAGAGTATCCAGTATGCACTCAGAAACAGCTCACACAGAACCCTGGTATTAGCGATTGTTCTTTTGTGATTTAATGAAAATGCTCTGCTTCAAAATAAACAGCTAATCAGATAATCACATTAGACTGTATCTCATAGGCCTTGAGCATTCAGATTCCTAGAAAAATCATCGAGTAAGACAACAGGATTACAGCTTTTATGACTACACATTGTATTTATCACAAAGCATAGTCAACATTCACAGTGAGATTGCAAGATAATTACATGGTTACCTGTGCTCTATAAAATAGAAATATCAAGTTGAACAGATTACAGAGTGGTACTGCAGAATCAGATATTATTAGCATGATACCTTTATTATTGATCACCATTATCTGTCACGAAAACATTAGTACTTCAGTGTAAACACTGCAAAACATACATGATTTAACAGTTTTAATATTAACAGATTGAAACGCTTTGGATCTGTTATCTGTCTACAAGATCTAAAAATAAGGCATATGGCCAGCAGATTAGGAGAGTTTAAAAAAACAGCCCGCATGCTTTGCTTTCCTCCCACACACCTTAACTCTGTCAGTTATGCTGCTGGATTCCTCAGAGCAACTCTTGTATCTTGAGGAGGTCATATCTGAGGAAGGCTGTTAGCCGGCTGAAACACCATTCTTTTAGTTTTTTCACTTTCCTGCGTACAAAGGAAACAAACAGTGAATAGCTAGAGGGCTTAGTCTTTTTTAAAATCTTGACAGAGTTTTCTGCTAGGAAGATAACTGTGGCCTGAGAGACTTTGTTTGTTCATGCTCATACATTTATACACAACTGACACTTTATTCCACTCAGAGGATCTTGACACAAAACTGTAGGACTGATCATATCTCTGTGATAGAAGCTTGACAGTTTTCCCACACAGCCCTGTTAAAACTTCCCATTAGTAGCTGTAAATAGAATTAGCAGGGTGGCCACTTAGCAACCAAATGCTTTTGCTTTTGCAATCTTACAGCATGGCGCCGTCTCCTCTTAGGCTGAATGCCCTCCTCTCCGTACGATGGCCACTGAAAATCCTGGAGTCGCATTTTGCTATTCTGACTCTCCGCTTCTTCAGAATCAGAGTCGTCTTGTTGCATTGAAGGAAAGTGTCTATCTGGATAAATCTCCTTCAGTTTGCCCTCAAAGAATACATCTAGGCATCGTCCAGCCTCAGCAACCTCTGAATCTGGCTGTAAGAGAGTAACCATTCAGTGTTAACGCACACAGAAAATCATGAAGGATCAAAACTAAATGACTACTCTACTCTAATGTCTTGGTTCTGTCTGCTACATGTCCATTAGTCTCCTGTACACTTTCTGCAGACCATTAGTGTCTCTGCATTTACAAGGTAAGTAAAAAATAGATGCTTTATTAAGGAACACGATCCTGCACCTCTAAGAAAAAGAGATGTGCAGTAAACTAAAAAGAATAGCAGCCATCATTACTTAAGAATTTCTATGCACCTGAATTTTCCCTAGCTGTTTTGCTGGCTATGACTGGCTTCTCACAGTAAACTCAGCATCATTTCAAAAAGTTATCCTCTAGGATGTCCCTCTTTAATTTTAGATCCATATGTACCTCAAGTTCTTAGGTCCATACATATCTTCATTTCTGTCATTAATAAAAAATATTATATCACTTTCAAAGAGTTTATCCCAATATCATACCCAATGTCAATGGAACCAACAGCTACACCAGTGTGACAGCCTGAAAGAGCTGCCCTCTGGTTTGTATCCCCCCTCACACGTGTATTAGAAACCTACATAATTGAACTTTGCACAGTTCCAAAACATGAGACGCACGTCAGTCACAAGTTCCTCAGGTGCAGAATAGTGAGACTTGTCCTTTTTTTGCAGTTTGTTTCGTATGACTGACAAATCCATTGGCCTTTTGATGATCTGATAATAATGCCGAGCCTGCAATAAGAATAAAATACAGGTATGCAACCTTTTTAATTAAAACATTTCCTCTCCGTGACTTCTATCCAAATTTGGACAGAAGTCATTGCAGAGGATTTCTTGCACCAAGGAAGAGAGCTCTTTTGGTGTCTACGCTTATATATCATCTTCCTGGGTGCTTTTTGGTTTGATTGAAAACATATTTGCTTGCAAGACTGATCTTGAAAACAGCACCCTTCAGTGACTGCTCCACTGTCTTTTTCAATGGGCACCAGCTACCAGAGTATCTCACTCCTTAAATCTTTCTGGGTCAAAACCTACTTGTTAGGTAACATGTTCCATCAGTGCATTGCAAGCTTTATTAGATGGAATATTTTTTATGTTGTTATTTGGACTATACCTTCACATAAACCCCTTCTACATCTTCCTTAAATTAGCCAGTTAATACTGTAAATGTTGAGCACATAGATGAAACAGCTACCTCTACATCTTCCCCCGAACACAGTCACATCACCACCTTTGTGCAAAATACCAGAGAAGAAAGAGTCCAGGGTTATCTCTAAAGCAGAGCTCTCTTACGGCAGTCCAACTGGACTATACCTTCACATAAACCCCTTCTACATCTTCCTTAAATTAGCCAGTTAATACTGTAAATGTTGAGCACATAGATGAAACAGCTACCTCTACATCTTCCCCCGAACACAGTCACATCACCACCTTTGTGCAAAATACCAGAGAAGAAAGAGTCCAGGGTTATCTCTAAAGCAGAGCTCTCTTGCGGCAGTCCAATATTTTCCATGTATGCAGGAAAACAACTTTCTTAGTCACTTGAACACCTCATATACATTTAGTTTCCTACAAACATCTTAAATTGGCACCCAAACCCAGCCTAAGAACACTGGCTAGCATTTGCCTGCCTCCAACTTGACACATGCAAAGCACTTGCAAGAGTGAAACACCTACCCTACCCTAGCAAGCAACGCTGTTCAGAAAAAAAAAGCTAATGAACATCTTTCAAGAAGACGAAGGACAAACTCGCAAAGTGTGCTTGAATATTCTTTGGGTTCCCTCTGAACTATGCATGTACAGTACTTACCAGGGGGCTGACAGGTTCATGGAATGGGAGGCTCATACTACTGCAGAACAGGGAAAGCACCAGCTTTTCACACTTCTGTAGAAGCCAAATTTGAAATACATTTTAATTCAAAACAAGTAAGTTTCATTCTTGCCCTTAGTTAACCAATCATACTAACAACAAGGGGAATTTTCTAGATAGAAGAGGATGATATAACTGAATACTAAAATTGCTTTTGTTGCATTTACTACTCTCTGCAACAGCTGAGTAGCAACCAAGCCAAAACAGTCATCTTTCCAATGAAGAGGCAAAACTTCACCCTGACATCATATATATATATATAGTTATTCCCACCTTCTGGTCACAGTCATTGAGGCCATATTGTGCACTGTAGCTGTTGCTGTAGCGTGTGTTTTCACAGTCATATTCTACCTCTGGCTTCACTGGATTACGGCAAAGTGTGCACACCCATTCTCCCCTGCAAAACAAGAAACCAAAAACTTATGTCAAATTTTGTCAGCCACCTTATCCAATAATAACACTCAGGCATCGCTGTATTTGGAAACAAGTGTAAATCTGACGCATACATCCCTGAGGATCTATTCTGCCCCAAGGCAGTGAGCAGAAACTGAGCACATTAGTGAAATGTCATACATACTCACACTGGAAAGCTAAGCAGGGCTGGAACATGGCAGGAGAGATGGAAGACCTTGGGGCAGTGATCACAGCACAACAGTTCTCCTCCATTAAGACACACAGCACAGAAATCCTCATTTTCAATTGGATTGACTTCCTGAGTAACTGGAGATTTTTTCATGTCAGTGAGCTTCTGATCAACAGACAGAGTATCTACAGGAGGAAATTCTGTCTGTCCTGTAGCCTGGGATATGGGAAACTTCCTGTCATATGAGTTGTCCTCTTTGGATTTCAGTCCTTCAGGTGGACTATCTCTATTTATCTTGAAGGAAGAAAAATCTGAGATCACACAATCATCATTTTCACATATATGCATATAACAGCAGTGGTTATCTGCAGACAAAACGGTTTCTCTGCAGTGAACCCCACTGGAGGGGGCACTGGGTTCAGTAGGCCCATGCTAAACTCAACATCTGCCACTGGCTGGCCGGGTCACTTGGATCAAGTCATTTCTTTCACATACCATAATGTAACAGTACTGCGAGAAAGCTGTACAGATTTTACATCACAGATGACAGAAATAGGATACTTTACAATTTTCTTAGCAAATTTTAGAGTAAACAGCTCCAAAGTAAAAAATAATAAAGAGTGTGGTTTTCTGTTCCCACCAGTATTTCCCATTTCTTTCTTTGGAAAGAAAATAACACTCAGTACTCCAATGAAGCAATAAAATACAAAGCTTTTAAAAATCTATTACACTGTGATTTCTGGAATCACTTCCTACCACTCAAATATGCATTCAGGTCAGTTTGAAGCTATTAATTTGTAGCCAGACAGCCAAGTCAGGTTGTCTGCTAGAATATAAAACCACAAAGTTACCCAATCTCAGAGACAGACTTCTTGGAAATGGAAGTATCAGGGAGCTACACAGCAAACTAAAAGCTGCATTCTCTATTACTCCAACTCATCACAGAAGTGTCCAAGGGTGAAATGAATCAACAGACTGGTGTATAACAACTTTCAGAAACTGTGGGTACAAACTAGTGGGATAAAGTGGAGAAATCGAGCAAAGCTTCAAGGAATTTCGACTCACCTTCATAGATATACTTGAAGACTGGGTTCCAGACTCAATTATCAGGAGGAAATTGCCCTCCTGCTCATTGTCCTGTGGCTGGAGCTTAAACATCGGGAGCTCCCCTGCTTCTGAAGTATGTAATTTTAGGCGTTCCAGTCGCACATAGGGAATCTTTTGTTCCTTAGGGCCAGCTCTATAATCAAAATGACACATGGTTAAATTCAGTAATATTCCACAAAATTGCCCTCCCTTCTCAGTTTCAACATTTTTCCACACTTATTTGTACTCCTTTTCCTCTGTAACTGTGACTCTGCTGGCTAAAGACTGAAAATCTGGATGTTCTGATTATTTAGGAAATGTGAATGCAGTCACTTTAAATTAATCAGATGTATATTGCCAAAACTTTGCCTTTCTCCATATATTTTTGTTTTAATTATTCCAGTGTAAGTTGCGATTGATTTTTTTTTAGTGTGGCTGCCCTCAAGTAGGAATATAGCACATTATCAACTTTACTTTAAAATATTGTTACAGCAGTAGTCGAAAACAAAGTTTTATAAAATGGCTAAGGTAGTATTAATCCTGCTCTATTTTATTTTTTAGGTTTAATTGGAACCGAACAGTTTCTAATTGTTCAAGTGAGATAAGTTTGCAAATATTTATTCTGGCAAATTACCAGAATAACAGAAATATATGACCTCAGTACTTCTTTTAAATTGTTGTTTTCAAGTTTAAGAGAACACAACTTTCAGAATTATTATAGATAAGGAATCTTGCATTCTTTAAGTTCTCTATTATCATTAAGTATGACTAATTTTCTAAATACATGCACAAAATTTCATGGCCAGTACTTTTTATTAAAAAAAGACTCTGTTACCTGGCATTCTGATCGCTTTTCATATCCATTTCAAAATGTTCCTTTTCACAGTTATTGGAATCTGGAACTGAAGATAAGAAAATGAATAAAATATTTATAATATCAGAGTCAGATTAGGGTAGAAAGTACTTCAATATTAATGTACTTCTGACTGGTGTTTAATACGATATTGTAAGTGAATTACAGAATCATTTAATCTATATGTATAGAAAATGTGTATGCTATTTTCTATTCTGGGATATAGTTTTTGTCTTTCTCCTTGCTTTTAACCACAGCTTCTGTACGGAATATGAAGAGCCTTTCCAAAATATTTTGTCAAAATGGTTACCTTCCCAGGAAATTATATATGTACACAGACATGCCACATTCATCCATATACATGGAGCAACATAAGTAATCGTCTTTGCTATACAGCCTTCCCTTGAGAAAAACAGACCTACTGAGGTCTGAACCCCTGAGGCTCAGAAAGTCTCTGCAGTCTCCTACTCCATGCTAAGAAGCTTCTGGATAATTCTAGTTACTTGAAAACAGGAAAGAAATCGTGTCTCATCTGCCACTGAGGGATGAAAGCTACACTGTATGATTCATTTCTACCCTCCAACATATGTAACATATAAACCTATGAATTCAAAACTATCCATTACATAAGCGTGTGCGTAACTGTAGCTCTTGGCTGATGCTAGACACAGGAGTAACAAAACAAGTTTGGAGAGATGAGATGGGGTAGAGATAAATGGACCAGTGGATGCCCCTGTAAATACTGGTCCACTGACAAATTTTACAGCAGCATCTTCTTTTGTTAGGAACTAGTCTGACACAGAAAATACTGAAAAGAAAACAAACCAAACATCATGGCTATCTGGAGATAAGTGAGTGCTAGACATGCTTTTGTAAAGAAAATCTAGCTTGGGTCAATGGTACCTAACCCACAGCTTGAAAGCAACATGCTTCTAAGACCCTATGTTGTTTCCAGCCACAGAAAACACAATACAATCAAACTGACAAGGAAGGGTGTATTTCACATCATTCCTAAAGCACTACTCACTTGTGATTGCTGCTTAGATGAAGGGTAGTAGTCATGGCTCTGGACAGAATGACTAAAGGGTGACTGCACACTGAGCTGAAGCAGCAGCTCTCATTGCATGCTGCCAAACAAGAGGATGTTCCAGTGGTGCTGAGTTCCTGATATTAAGCAACATTTCCATCAGCAACTTGGCTCATGAAATAATAGTTCCTATAAAATTTTTGAAAACCACCGAACTAGAGGGGTTGCAAACACCAATGCAGAATATTTACTTTTAAAAAATTATCCTAGTACTTCAGAGGAAAAAAATCTCCTAAATCAGTAAGACTGAAAAAAGGTAAGTATTATGCTTATTAAGGTTCAGATGAAAGTAATCACAAGAGAAAATAACTGACCAGGGAACTGTTCTGTAGAAGGAAATAAGTGTTAATGCAGATTATTCACTACATGTGAGTCAATGACATAATACTGCTGCTGCAAAAGAGGTGAATGCCATCCTGCAGCAAGGAGTGTGAAACACAAGACGCTGATACCCTGGCTCTGCATGGCACCCCAGAGACCTCAGCTGCAGCCCTGCCTCTGGCTGCTTAACTGCAGAGAACCCAGAACAGCGCAGCAGGAACAAGGTAGTTTTAAAAAAATCACAACCCTAAGCCATGAAGAGAGACTGAAACCATCAGATTTGTTTAGTCTATGAAAGAGAAGTGAAGGGAAGGATATTTATGCAATCCATGATAAGAAGAAAAGTGACTGTAGAGGGAAAATGATGAAATTATGTACAATTTTTACCACATCCCTTGAGGCTAGGATAAGAAGCATTTTGTTGTGAATTAAGCTGAAATGTTTAGATTTTATATTAGAAAAGGATGAGTCGTCGGAGATATAAACCAGAAGCTGTGGGGTTTGACAGTACAGCACTGCTAAAGCCACTAAGTCCTCCTGAGAGCCACCAGCAAAGATAACGTTGTCTTTGCACCAGAGTTAATCTCTCTCAGTGGTGCACACCGTATGCAGCGGCTATCTCCTCAGGCCAGCCCTCACTGCACACCTTCAAACAGTGAGAGCAGGATGGGAATTGCTCAGTCCTGATCCTTCCGTGTGAAAAGGCAGCAGCATTGAATTCAACCCTCTAGTCTTCTCATTCTCTTGCACAACAGGACCTGTGCATTACCCAGAGCCTATCTGCAGCATCTGTTGGAGAGTTTCTGTACGTTGGGCCCGATACACAGAATCACAGAATGCTTTCTGTGTGTAGTGTCGCACAACCTAAACCAGATATTACAAAGCTACTTGTCTCGGAGACACTTAAGCCTGATTGAGGCACAGCTTTTTAGGGGTACGCCTGATTTCTTACAACTCAACACAAATGGTCGTGGCATAATTGTCAAAATTTGGCATAGTACATATAGGAGAAGACAAATACATTTCCTTGGCTCACTGAGCTAGGCCTCCTCTGTACTAATTAGAATTCTCTGAATAAAAATACAGCACAGAGATAGAAATATTAATTCATCTTTTACAGAGAAAAGCAGCCAAATATTGGCATAAGTCACAGGATAACAGCTTGATCCTGCAATCCCTTGCTTGCATGAATAGTCCCATTGACTTTTAGAGCTTGCAGGAATGAGGCTTTACACTGTAGCACAAGGATGCTGGCAACTTGCCCATGAAAAGAGTTAAGGAAGGTCTAATTCTCCATTAAAGCTGAAGAGATAGGCCTTGGCTGAAGGGAATGTTCCACAGTAGACAGAGCCAAGCAAAAGCACATACTGTGCAATATATTAACCTAACAAAAATTTCCTGTGATACTGATGTGAAGGACTTTGCAGATGACATATTACAATTCAGAAGTATTTTTTTAATTGAATTTGGACTCTTCAGACCAGCTCTTCAGTAGTCATAACTGCAGGTCTCATTAACAGAAGTGCTTCTAAGAGAACTAATACTCCAGGTACTTTACCCAGACACATTCATTTCTAGTTCATAGATGAAGGATGTTACAAATTCAAGGCAAATCATTTCCATGTTTTTCCTCCACAAAAGAGACAAAACATGCTTTTCCATTGGATTAAATACTCTGATAATATTTGAAGCTTGTTGGGAAAACACATTTATATGCAAGTACTTTAATAACCATACTGCCTTGCGATTCACAGCACTAAGAAAGAAAGACCAAAAACCTACATGAAATAAGGAAAAACCTGGTACCTTCTTTGCTTCTAAGTTGTCTCATTCTAGCATTGACGGTCAGGAAAGAAGTGTTGCTGAGTAGTTCAGAAGGAGACGTGCAATGCCGAGATTTTTTGATCGAAAGATTAATAGGTTCTTCCAGCACTTTTTGCATAGAAAGAGTTAATTCATTAACTACATCTTGCCCAGCAGTAGCCAAGCTGCTTTCTAGATGATCTACAGTGCCGAAGTCTTCATTTTCAAGCTTGGAGGGGGAAATACATTTTATTATTAGTTTTCTGGTTTTTTTCATCTTAAGAAAATAACTTGTAATCAGTCTTCAAATACCAGAGAAGGAAAATTTTACTTACTGAAATAGCTACCTTTGACCGACTGTCTAACAATCACATGAAAGTCAATTACCTTTCAGTAGAGAAGTCTGAGTGATTCCTACCTTGCACGTAGTGCTGCCCTGAAGCACATCATCTGCTGCGAGGCCAGTGGCAGCCTGAGGGCTCAGGTCACTTGGAGCTCTGCCCAGCGCCAAGCTGTAGCTGGACGCTGACTCTGGAGGTGTATCACAGTCACAAAGGGCATTTGGGGACGGGCCAAGTGTTACAGCGGCTGCACCTTGCATCTGTGGATTGGCTGAACTAGATAACCCTGTGGAAGGTAATTCCATTTCTAAACTGTTTGAAAAGCCCACAATGCTTAAGGATGCTGAACGCTGTGAAAAGAGAAAAGAGAAAAAAAAAACAAACCACAATACATTAATAAGCTTTTCAGTAGCTAAGTGCTACTGTTCTTTCTACAATGGGTGAGATACTCTATTTCAGCTATAGGCAATCAACCACTTGTGTCATGAGGGCTTAAAAGTATCTAATGTAATCTTACACCATTTTCAAAACCTTTAAAGTTTCCGCCATTAAAACTGAGAAATGGAGCTGGAAACACCTTGGTTACTCTTCTGTGATTTACAAAAAATGTCTTCCTTTGATCAGTCCAAGGGATCCTGATTTTTAACTCCCTACAATAAAAAGGATATCTAAGCATGTAGAATATTGTACTAAATCAACCATTGATATAGACCCTACTAGCTTCCATTAAGTTTTTCCAGAAGAAATAAAATTCTGATCAGAAATTTTATTTTATACAAAAATCATCAGATCACTTTTTTCAGGAGATTCAGAAGAAATAAAATTCAGATCTGGTACAAGTGGATGAAATTATTGTTACTCTTACTGATGATGAAAATTTTATTCTAGTTAGTGAGTTTGTCCTACTGAAATCTAAGGCACTTCCCCTTTATATATCATAGCAGAAATCCAGAAACATCCTACATGACTAATGAGAAAAGGATGTACAAGTTTAGTTTCCAAAGAAAGGGAATATTTACCAAAGTCTGAAATAGCTTTAGCAATATGCATTTTCTACTGTCTCATGATCTGACACTGTCAAAACCACAGAAATACTTTTATGCAAAACACAGCAAATCCACCCATCTAAATGACTTCCTTAAGCTGTCTTACATCCACAAATGTGTATTGAAATCAGAACTTTTCTAGCACTCATATGAAGCAAATATAAGCGATCTTAAGAAGTATGCAGATCTGTGTCATTTGAATATGTAATTTTCCATTTATTTCATCATAGTTCCTTGGTGTTTCATCCTTGGCAACTAACTGAGTAAATACTTTTCATTTAACTACAGTACAGTAACTAACACTCATTGCAATATAAATCAAGACACAAGAAACGTGTTGACTGCATCCGAATTAGAGTTTTATTTCATTGTTGTACTTATTTTTCTGTGAGGGCCTTGCAACTTAGAAGTGAATCTGAGAGAGGACCCATTTCCTAGATTTAATTACTATTTTCCTCAACTGTTAGTCCATTTCGGATTTTGATACCTTTGTCCATTTTAATCCTTCAGTGGTAAAGACAGTAGCCTAGATCAAGCTGTCTTGTGCCTACATAAATCCTACACAATGCTTATGAAGTCAGTCTTGAATTCCTCTGCTTGCAATGCACTTATGTGCTAAGATAATACTGCCCATAGGCATTAACTTTGACCTAAGGATGTAATTTGATTTTCTTTTCCTCAATTTGCAATAGACACTGCAGTAGGAGCTTTGTCTGAATAGTGACCACTTATATTCAAGGAGACGAAATAGCCTGCATTTGAGACAGAAAGAGGTGAGCGCCTCTGCAGTGCTAGGGAAGGTTTGTGCCATTCTACCACAGAGCTCTAGTAAAAGTCTGTTTTAAACAGTCCTTTCACGTAGAAGGCACTCTGGCGAGTGCTGGGTCTCTGCAAGCAGGGTATTGGCCATTTTGCTCCTTTTGAGGCAAATGAATGTCTGTGAATCGAAGATGTCTGAGCTATAATAACTTCTTGGAACCAGCAGGAACTAGTCAAACACGTTCTCCCTATCTTACATTTGAGCTGAAAACTAGAACACAACAAATGAGGAAATGCATTGGTGGAGGCACATCTTTCCGTATCCGTGTCTGATAGAGCACTCCTGAGAATGCTTAGGATTTGAACCAAAGGAATATATGTAGGTCAGAAAGGAACCTAGCTTTCATCTTCACATATCCCAAAGAAGTCCACAAAGATCAAAAATGTTCATTTGCTGACATAATTTGCTTGTGACAGGCTCCTGCACATGCAGTGACAAATGTGGCCTATCAAGTACATATTTTCCTTTTCATTCCATAACTTCCTGCACAAGCTTTTTTCAGATGACAAAATAAACATGTGAATTGTTCTCATATAATTTACAGAAAATAAGCAGAATTCATGCTTGAATTGTACAGATGGACTGTAATCAGCTTGCCTTTTCCCCTTCCTTTAAAGTCCATTGTAAGCATTAATTAAGTCCCTGTGAGTAATTAAATATTTATTTACCCAGATTCTCCAAAGCACAAAGCATCCACAAATTCCTGCCTGAGTCAACAGGAACTGCCTAATGCTGCTCTCCATTGGAAATGGGCATGCTGAGGCACACACGTGGTAGGCACACCACCCAAAGCTGCATAGCAAGTTAACTGGAGACCTTGTGGCTATTCACTTCCTCTGATCACTACACCTACCCTCCTTTACTTATGTTACAAGAGTGTGCCATCATCTATTATGTACTGAGACCTGACCCCGTGAAGATCCATCTGTGCGTAACTATACACTGCGGGCAAAATGTTAGCCCTACTGACAATGGTAGGATGACTCCTGGCTCCAATGAGACAAGTTTACTTACTGGGAGTAGTCACTAGGACAACTCCTACTGCAGAAAAAAAGAAACAGACACACGCATAAGACTTCATTATAACTAAAATTTTTATACAGGTGAAATTCAATTGCATTATATGGCTATATCTTTTTTTACTCTTCTAGCTAGCATCAGTTCCTTCAGATATCTTTTAGATTATATAAGCCAATATAAAACCCTACTCTTGTTAAAAAGAAGAAAGAATAATGAGGCCATCAAACTGCCATCTGTCTTTCCCTTGGGGCAAAAGTTAATTTTGTGGTTATTTTAATGATGAAGCAACATTATGATCTTTCAGTGCAAAATATTAAAACTCACAGTTAAGAACCGACACATTCCATTCCATTCTGTCAAGTGTGAAGTGAACAATGCACTGGGAACAAGGCTCATTAATAGCCTATTAATTCACTCCCTAAAATAATCATTTCTTTTGCCATTAGCAAAAATTTCTCTTTTCCCTTGACAGTTCAGCTAGTTTTTGCAAATGGGATGCGTTTAAAGAATTGATCTCTGTTTTATGAAAGCTCTATTGCTTTTACATTGCACCCTTTGAACAACAACAAGCATTAATTATGCTCTTGGGTAGAGGGTGGTTTCAGCTGTAAGTTAATTTTGAAACTTTTGACATTTTAACATACAGCCTGACACACTGAACTACATCTGTGTCATTATAAATGGACTTCTCATTGTCTCATAATTATTTTTTGTCTGATGATCCCTATGAGATAATGGCAGCAGCAACACTACCCCAAAATGCCTTCTACCACAAATTTCACAGCTATGGTAGTGAAAGGTAAGAAGAAAGAACATGCAAAGTGCCTTCACAGAACAAAAAAACCAAAATATTGTTCAGTTCAAATATCTCTTTGATCACTGTTGCAATGAAAAAGGTCCAGTGTAAACATGCAGCACTAATACAGAAGAATTTTGAGAAGCAAATACTTACCTTGAAACACTGGGATTAGGATTTGTTAGGATTGTTTTGGCAAAGTCTCAAGGCTGTTGACATTAAGTGTCACAGATAAAGAAAGCTAAAACTAGGAACTGCCAATTCTCTTTGCTATAAGAGAAATAACACGCTGCAAATGGTTGCAGAGTAATGAACGGCTGCTATTAAGTGGAGCAATCCCCCTGGCAGCTCATTATGCTAGGAGGTTAAACAAATGTACTACTCCAATCCAGTTGTTTAACTCACCGCATACAGCAGCACTGATAGCACAGTCTACACATGCTTCTCATTCCTATTTCCCAATTTCAGAATAGAATCCAAAGGATTTCCCTTTCATTTTTACGACAAAAAGAATCCACATCTTCCTTAACAATCTGTCTGAATAAACTGGAGCTGGCTTAAAGTGGAAGGAGGAAGAGACTGTACGGAGCAAGGAGTATCATGTTTTATTTATCTTTTTTTCCAGGTCAAAGGAAAAGGTTTTTTTAAATTAACATTCTGGGAAATGTACCTAATTGCATTAAGCATGAATGCATTTTTGCTGAAAGCCACTCAATCCTTTAAAGTAAAATAAAAATCTGATACTTTCAGAATGTGCAGGACCTTAAATCGCAGGCTGTTATCGTTATTTTCTTCACCTCTAGTCTCCCTAAAATGAATAGTAATTAGGAAAAAACATCAATAACAAACCTACCCTGGTCCCAAGCTCCGTTTCAAAGTCCTAGAGTAGAGTACTAAATTATTATTACTTTCAGTCATTAAGTAATCATATGTTCAGCATAATACTAACAAAAATGAAATCTGTACTGTGCTCCCAACCCCTCTCCCACAAATTGCTTTTAAATTTTCAAAAAAAGCACATTAGTTAAGCACTTGCCACCGAGATGGAAGAGTTGTCATTAATAAAGCCTTAGACAAATGCGCTGGGGCAAGATACCCAAGAATGCCACCTAGAGCAAACTGAGATCAATGGTTCTCTTTGACGATGCTGTAGTAACAGCAGCATTGGCATGTCAGAGCCTAGAAGTTCACAAGTCCCAGGAGAGGCCGAGAGGTTCTACCATGAACTGTCACCTCTGTTAGTCTTCATGAAATGCCACCATTGGATATAACTGGAATAAACCAGAAGCTTCTCTCACAAAGCTTTCAAGAGCGCTCCTTGGATGGTATGGAATATTCTCTAGGATTTCCCTGATTTAGGTACTTTATGGTGTTTGAGATAAACAGAGTTCTTGTACTAAGAAGCTGAGACTTACCTGTGAATCAAAAAAAAAAAAACAATTCAAAAATGAGAGTTACAGCACTATACAAAATTTCCAAGTGCTTGCATGTTGATTACTATTTCTGGTCACCCTATCTCAAAAAACTTTTATCAAACCCACAAAATGCAGGGAAAACGGCCAAAGATATAATGGACCAAACTATAGAATGGCTTCCTTGGAGAAAAAGAAAAAAAAAAGACACTAGAGAGACCAGCAATCACTCTTTAGCTCAAAAAAAAATTACTTATAGAATACGGATATTATGAAGGTGATGAATACAGAGTGATTATTCACTCACTCTCTTAACATAAGAACTAGAAGACAGCTTACTAAATTATCAGACAACAGACTTACAGTAAGCAAACAGAGCACACAAAATGCAAAACTCAGTTCTGCAGAATGCTGAGGAGAATCGAAATGGACTCAAAAAATGGACTGGACAAATTCACAGAGGAGGGACCCACAGAGAGCTGCAAAACACAAATGTCTGTGTGCAACCTGCAGTTCAGAAAGTCCTTCAGGTGCTGGTTTTCAGAAGCTGGGGTAGCATATCATCAAAGGCTCAGTCTGTATTTGTCTGTTTGTTAGACCCTTTCCTAATTATCTGCTGTTGGGTTCAGCTACAAATGAACAGACACAGCTGTTCAGTAATGATTGGCTAATACAGTGCATGACGATTATTTTAAGCAGAAACTGAAACAATAGCTCAAGGGGAGAAATCATCAAAGGTTGCTAAGGAATATAAACAAATTCAAGTTTGGCAAATGCTGTGCGATCTACTCACAACTGATCAGTGTCCCAGAAGGCATACTCACAAACGCCCAAGCCAGTTAGCTTTTTAGGATGCGTGGGGATGGCACAGTGTTCCACTGCCCAGGACCCAGCCTAACAGCTGGACAAGACAATGAATCCACTCTCCCAGAAGTAAAGGCTCTGCTCCTAACTAGAGAAAGGAGTGCACTTACGGAATCCGAGGAGGAGAGATGTCCAGCTGGCCCTGCAACAACACCAATGTCTGTTGCAGCAGCACCCGAGGCTCAAACTACAAATTTGTGCTATAGATGTACAGTAATTATGACATTTTTTCAAATGCTAGGGACAGCCTTTAGACCTCTTGCTCATCACAGCCACAAATGACAATTAGGAAGAGGTAAGCAAAACAGGGATTGTATGCCCCTTATTACTCCTGAAAACACAATTAGGCCAAAAAATATCTTATTATTCTCACCTCTGCTCTAGAATAGATAACCTCTCCAGTCCTGTGTGCAAATTAATAACTCAGCATCATACTATATAAAAGCAACAGGAGTGCCATATCATTGCAGAAGGCTGGTATCCCTTTCTGCAAAATTGTTAATCTAATTGAGTACTCATTCCTTCGCCCTGCAACTTAGCAATTGAATAGCTTGTACAAAATCTGTTTGCTAGAGGTTGGCACGATTCCACAGAACAAGAGGACAGATATGACAAAAGTTATTCTGAGAATTGTCCTTTGTGTTGCTGACATTCTTACTGCAGAGGTTGGGTATTTGACAAGTATGGAGAGAAAACCACTCCACAATCCAAAATAGAGGTCCCAGCTACATGAGTGAATTGTACTGACAGAGGAGCATAAAGAGAAAATTATATCCATTTTGCACATAGATAGAAAAATTCCATTTCTAGTGTTGCATTCTTAAAAGGTGCTAATCAAGCCCAAAGTTATGCTAAGTGCAGTACTTATATCAAACAATCAGTGGTCTAAGTACAGAAACATTTATTCTGCACAAAAGATTCAACTCACAGAGAAAGAATAGTTAGAAGAGTACACAGGAAGACAAAAAGTCTGACAAAATACCACCATTAATGTTCCAAAACCAGAAAGCCAAATGAAAACAAGCCCACGCATAACTGAAGTTACATGTTTAGAGACTATACTATATGCATGCCTACAGAGCAGGTAGGCACAGACAGGAATTATTCTGAACTTTAAGACAGCAGTAGCCTTGATGTCAACGTTTCTGGTCGACCCCAGCTAGAAGACTCTATATGACTGAAAGCCACGGTTCTGTCTGCTCAGATTTAATTTTTGTCCTAACACACAGAGGTATTTAACAAGTGCATGAAGTGTTTCATCCTTGCTTCTCTAGTTCTTACTTGACAATAACCAGCTTTAAATGTGAGGGACAGAAAGCAGTACTCATCAGAATAACCTGAACAGACATTCTTTGAATTCAAAGGCACTCACATGGCATACTAGTGCCTCACACTGTGGTGTAATGACCATACTAGCACTAGTCTGGGAGGATCTGAATAACACACTTGTGGTTTCCCTGTTTATGAGTAATGTTGTGATCCCAAACTATTAATAGCATCTGCTCAATGTTGCTTCACACATAAATATGACCCCATATGCAGACAATACATCTAGTTATCAGTCACCAGTATCAAATGCATACCATAAGCATGTTTCAATATTAATGAATAAATGCTGAATTCCACAAGAAATCAAGCCTTGCCCACTTCACCCCCAAAAAAAGAAAAGGGAAACCACTGGGCTAATGAAAGCCTTTATTTTTGACAGATCTTGGCAAACATATCACTAAACAGTTAATTCTGAGTTTTGCTACATCCTGGTTCATACTGCTTTCTCTTTAATGAAAGGATCTCAGCAGCCAGAGAGTTACCTACTCCACCAGGAACACTGTGCACAATGAAGGCTGTCAGAACTACAATACAGTTCTTCTCCAGGTAGCAATAGATTTCTCTAGCCATTTTCTCTACGTATGTTCCAAGTGCAGTATTTTAGACTTTTCCACATTCACTTCTTCCATGTCCTCCAATGAAAAGTTCTGAATACAGGCCATATGAAAGCACACAGACAAACACCTATACAGAAATTTTTGACTGGAGATGAGCATGGAAGCTATTTAACCAAGTGAAACAGAGATGAGAATGAAGAGACACACACTCTCGTTCTTAAATAGGAAACAATCTCCCACTTAAGCCTAGATTTAATCTAATTGTCAGAAAAAGCAGTCAGTCATATTTAAACAGCATTCTCGAGGAATGTATTTCAAGAATTTCTTTACTGTGCTGTTTCCCTTCATCATTTCTAATTAGACATCGACAGAGCTGCCAGTACATTATGGCTTCATCCCAAGTAGCTCATTACAATAGATAAATACAAGAAAAGATGGAGTACTGTAGTTGTTGAATGCCGTCATTTCTTGTAGAGGTATCAGAAAACTAGTAAAAACAGATACATCTGTGCTTTCTGCACCAGAGCATACATTTTTCAGCACCAGTAGAAAATTTTCCCTTTTCCTCCTCTTGCACAGAAAAGAATCAGCTTTTCCTCCTTTTTTATTTCTCCTTTTGCCATCAGATTACATTAGTCTCTTACATATCTGCTTCCACTTTCTTCCTGACTTATCTTGTTTAAGTTATTGAGAGTAGCCTTTCTTTACAGGTCCAGAAGACAAAGGATAGCTTCTTCAACATGCATGTAGAAAAAGCCTCTGAAAGCTAGCTCATTAGCATTGTCATTCATTTTCACAAATAACTTTGAGAGTATATCTGCACTACAAGAAAATGATGTGCTCAGGTTCATGGCGTTGTTTAGGCCTTAAATAATCTTCAATTTTTACAGTCATATCCTAAAGTAAAGGCATCCCTATCCTAGAAAAGTTGCATAGCTTTCCTCAGTCTTGTGCTCTTATCATCAGAGGTTACAGGAGATTGCTTCTACACATGACAGTTCAGAGCCAAAGAGCATCATCTTAGAACGTTGTGATACCATCAGCCTCATCCAGAAATTCTATGACATCTACAGGATTAAGTTAGCAATTGCAAATTTCTTTGTGGCTTCCAAATCTGATTTGCGTGCTGCTTCCAGACCCTCAGTAATCATCACCTTTCCACGTCTCTACAATTCCCAAAAGGATCTCCAACAACTCTCTGAATGGATACTGCATCATAAATGTGTTTGATCAGCAAAGCTACATAGTAAAGAATGATAAAATAACTTCATTTCGCAGGCTAGTAAGGGCAGACAGGCTCTTCCACAATATTCCACACACAAATTCCAAGAAAAAATATCCATGAAAGACTTCTATGTGGTTCACAACATGAGTCATACAAAGAAGTACCAAACAGAATTGAACAACCAAAATACGAAATGCTGTTTGGAGAGTTTTAAACAAACCGTGCAGAGAGGTAAAAGGCAGCTTCCCTGCTTCAAATGCACAGGTGATATCCAGAGCCAGCAAGGATCTACTGACAAAGATGAACTCTCCTGGTCTTGTTTATGCTGCTTCTTCAATAGTTAGGACCCTCCAGTAGGTGGAAGGATTAATGCATGGCTCTATTATGTGCTATCTAGAGACAGCAGAAAATCACAGATTTCTGTAATACATGAACAAGGAGAAGGAGTATAACAGAATTATATCCCTTTCAGATACCATATCTACAGTAATAACTAGTGTTGTTACTTCCAGGGCAACTATATTGAATGAAGTTTCTCAGGCTCGAGTTCATCACAATCTCTGGCTCCTTTTTTTTTTTTCCTCCGGAAATAAACTGCTGCTAGTATGGTAGTTCGCAAGTCCTGATAGTTAAATCCCTATAGATATGGACTGGACAGAATTTATGTAGTCAAGAAACAGGTCTTCTGTTTATCTACCAGTTCCTGCTTAACAATCATGCCAGCCAGATCCAAACACTACCAGCTTATAGAACAGTTGCTAAGCCTGGCTACAGCACAGCGTGTAGACATCTTAATGGGGCATGGACACTAGGTTAGGCTATGACCCTCTTCTAAGATTTGCAAGCCATTTTGTTAATTTTTACTGTATTTGAATTTTTTTCAACCTGATCGTAAATTCCAATGTCATATTATATTCAATATTATCGGATCATGTTTTCTCTTTAAATTTTTTTTTCAATGTTGTTTATACCTTTCTCACTGGATGGAAAGTTGATTGCTGCAATGTGCTCTCAGAGGAGTGACTGCTGACACTGGTTTCTTCATCTAGTGACTGTGACAGGGAGGGACTATCACTTTTGTCAAGAGGAATTACAAGCTTCTGGGCATCAAGTTCACTGGAACTCTCACAGACCTACGAATCACAATTAAGAATTTCTGTTTTTAAAATCTCAGACAGAAAAATGGTAACAAATTCACATCAACTCACTGCATATACAATATGACAAGACTGGAAAGACAAAGACATTCAAAGTAACCCTAATAGAGAGATAAATGAATGGGGAAAGATTTTTCCGAAACATTAATCAATTTTAAAAAAAAATTTTAAAAATCAATACAGGTCTTCCAAAAGCCTGCAGTCTGCCTCTGAACATAAGCCAGTTTGTGACCTTTTCAAGTGAGAACTCCACAGAATTTACACAATGGGAAGTCCCAGCCACCTTTCTGCTGCAATCCCTACTGTTTAAGGCCACCTTACTGTGCGCCTTATCTCCCTTGTAGTCTGGATGCTCATCAAGAAGGACTGTCCTTTTTTCAAAAGCGAGATTCTTACCAATAGAGAAAAAGGTGACAAATTAGCCCTGCTGACAAAACTGTAATAGAACAGCATGTATAAAAACTTACGAAAATCTTAAAGGATACATTGCAGTAGCAAGAGCAGTTACTAGTAGAATGAGAAACTACTCTCAGACCAAAAAAAAAGGTGTTCTTCACTTTATTTTCACTAATCATTCAGAATAAAAAGGGAATCTTTTTCAAGGACTCAGGGCTTAAGATTTCCAGTAAAAAGGAGCAGAAATGGAAACTACTATGGTAGTCCTTTACCTATTCACAAGGATGAATGACGATGTCTTTATTCTCCTACCTGCTGCTCACTTTGTCTACAGATTCAGATCTTTGGGATCCAGGTTGTTTATGCAGCACTTAACTGAAAATTTTGGCCCAACCTGCATGAGGCATGAAGCCTCTGCTGAATACAAACATGGGTAAGACAACAACAGAAAGTTCAACCAAATACATGAAATCTCAAAGGTGTCTCTCATTTCTGAGCTTACATTGGCTAAATGCAACAGGAAAGAACTTTCAGAGAACTTACTTGTGCTTCATCCTGGATTTGCTGCTGAACTGGGGCTGGCTGCCTCACTATGTAGTTGATTTGACCAACTATGGTCTGTTGAACATGCTGAGGTGGCTTGGCTTGGTTCAGCTGCAAGCTGGGCTGTCCCTGAGCTTGCAGAAGAAGCTCCAGATCCTTTTTCATCTCCTCCAGTTCGAACTGGTGGTGCATGATGTCCAGGCTCTGCTGAATCACTTGTTTGCGTGTGTTCTCATTCTGACGTGATGGTGGCGACACTGGTGGCAGCTCCTGCTGCGGTGGTGGCTGCTGCAAGCGGTTAGATTTTATCTTCTGGAGATGACCGAGTTGCACTTGCACAGTTGATGCCTGCAGAGAAGCCTGCGTGGGGAATGGCTGTGAATGGCTCATGTGGACTTGCTGAGACTCATGTGATACAACGGCATAACCCAGGGGTGCAGTCTGCTGCAGCTGATGGGATAATAAGTGCTTTCCCGTCCTTCCAGACACATTCTCTGGCTCTGACCACGACTGCTGTTCCAGCCCAGACTGTGTCAGCTTCATAGGTTGGGGGGCACCCCTTTGCACTTTGTCATGTTGCTGCATGCTGTACTGCAGAGGAAAGTGCTGCTGATGCAGTTCAGAGGTTTGTCGAAAATTTTGATGGCACTTGATGTCCTGGTAAGAAGGCTGAGCTTTGTTTGGGTGAGGTGCAGTGAGGCAGTGTGAGCAACACACAGGCGAAGGACACGGAACGGCAGGTGGAAGCTGTTGTGGCTGGCTATTCACAGGCTCCAGCTGAGATGCTGCTGAACGGTGCCCACGATTCAAGGAGGTCTGTAACCCTTGCATATTTCCACAAAGCAGTACATCTGAAGGAGAAATGTGTCCACCTTCCATAGTGAAACCTCCTGGAAAAAACAGCAAATTTACTCCCTCCTACGATCTTGACAAATTTACACAATAAAAATTGTGAATGATGGCCATCTCCTTGTTTTCATTTCAAATATAGAAGATAGTTGAATATACTATCCAAACAGCCATTCAACATACCTTCAAGTCAAATTTTCAAAGATTTTTCAGTGATTTAAAACCACACTAAACTCCCACTAATGTCAGTGGAACTCATGGTTGAATTATAAACAAACGCTTTGAAAAACTGACCTGAACTTTTTTTAACTGATGGATATGGCTTAGACTTTCATTTTTTACTGAAGTATGAGAGTAACTTCTCATCCATAAGCACAGGCACAAAAGACTTCTTCCAGGGTGAAAGTGACAAAAATAAAAGAGATTGATGTTATGTAGGTGAAAATCATAAAAGCTAGAAATAGAACTGACTTATGAACAAATCTTGTCTATGCTTTTAGTCAAGAAAGGATTATTGTCTATAGTACTTTTGATAGCGTTTTACCCCATCTGGTTTTATATATCTTAAAATGGGAAGAGAACCAATATTTCAGACCATTGATTAGTCCACCAAACTGAATTTACTGTAAAAATCCACAGCAGCTGGGAAATTAATAGCTGGTGGCAAACAAAGTCACAGTATGCACATTCATTATATAAATAACACTGTAATTATTATACAGTCAATGTCTTGAAGCCATCTTTGTGCCAATTAATTGTGTTTCAAGCACTGCTCAGGTCCCTTGGCCTCTAAGATATTCAGGGATCTCAGGAGCGTGGGCATGACTGAGCCCAGCTGCCCCTGGGTAAGGCAGAGGAAACAACACAAGGTCCACTGCAGTTTCACCCCAGGTACTCCTCACAAGACTGCCAGAATCACAGTGTTATACAGAGCTACTGCTTGCTGGGACAGAGTGAATTTCAAATACGCTGGGAAAAGTCAAGGTTGTTTGATAGTCAATGACTCTACGTTTTAAGTAATTTCAGTTAAAAGTTACTCGTTTAGTCCTGTACAGTATTTCCACTAAACTATTAGTTGTGTTCTTACATTGTGATTTTGTTAAGACCATCAAAGATGATATTTGTAGAGTGTGGTTCTAGGTAATGTTTGTAAGGTAATATTTACATATAATTATGTCATTTAATAGGTGAATTGATGTAACTGTTGGGAAAAAGAGGAAAGGTTCAGCCACATTAGCTTTTCTTCAGAATGTGACAAGAGGTACAAAACTGGAAGTCAAATCAAAAAAGGAGAACACTAATTTCATTTTTTTTGGTATTGTCTATGTCTGTCTTGTCTAGCTTTGGGCACTCATCTAATAAAGAAAAATATATTTTTCTTACCTAAACTGGACAGTTGTTTAGTCCAGTAGGAGGGATCCCAATTAAACCTGATCTTCAGAGGAGGGTCTATGTCTGTGTTACAATTTGTCTCTAACAAGCGCTGGATCTGAAATACAATCTGGTAACAAATCAAAGGAAGATGATTTTATTCACAATTATAAGATCATGAAAAATTGTGGGGTTTTTTGAGAAACGTTAAAACCTTAAAACAGTTCGCACATCTACTGAACAATTTCGATTTGCTGAGAAAATAAGTATTGCTCTTACCAGTTCTTTACTGAAGAGAAATGGGATGCTGTTTTTACTGCACACTGCCCAGCGGATGAAGTTCTGCACATGTTCTACCTGTCTGCCTAAAACCACAACACTCTGCAGTTGTTGCTCCAATTTCTGTTTCCTTTCACTGGTGATTTTCTGTCAAAACCACACATCAGTAGAAGATTGTTGTCATTCTTCAGACACACATAATGCATACAATCATTGGCACTATGGCATGTACTTTTTCCAGGAACACTCTTACACAGAATCGATTTAAAACAACAGTCATGAAAAGAAAGCAGATCCTATTCAACAGATATGTCAGAACAGGAAGAACAATGACTTCTACAGGAACAAAAAACCTGCATCATTCTGGCTTTGGCTGAACAGAATAATAATGTAACCCAAGAAACCATAGAAGTTGGATCAAATTTGCACCTGGATCACTTTCTTAAAATACACAAGAAGGAGTATAAAAAGAAGGGAAGCATGCAGCATTTCTTCAGAACAGTCTTCCAGTCTACATTATCACCTTGAATGTTTTTTTCTATGAATTCGTCTAATTACTGTTGACTCATGCAAAATATCTTGCAACAAGGAGTTCCATACTTACTGTTTCTGCGAAGAACAATCTACCCTTGTTGGATTTGAACCCAGCACCTCCCAATTTCATTTGATGTCCTTTACATGCACTTCAACAGAACACTGTGTGTGTATGCACAGTCTGGCTATGGTCACAGGTAACTCAGATGAACACTGAAATGTTTTCAAAATGGCTGAACATCTATTTAATAATATGGAAATGAGAACATACATTTCTCTTTTTTTGTAAAGTTACTTAGCTGAGTAGCAGTATTTGAGTCAAATACGTAAGTTAAAGGTAGCTAGCAAGTGTCGAGTGCCTTGTCTTCCCAATATCTGTTAAAATTATCCTGGAATAACTGAGAACTGGAATTTCTGATCAGATCTGATAGCAATTTTTGTGCTCAGCACATATCAAAATAAAATCATATATACTTTAATTGGGCATCCAAAAACTGAAGAGTCAAAATTGCAGGCTGTTAGAGAAGCAGACCAGAGGGCCATTTTGAAAATGGGATGTTAAAATGTGCTGCTAGTCATCTTCTACAAATTAAATGTTAAAACCAGAAGCTGGTTTGTTTTTTAAGTACTCAAAAGGTGCACACATATTCTCCATAATTGCATTAGAAAATGTGATTAACTCATGACAATCAAACATTTTGCCACTTTATCCTAAATCTTTGTCAACTGTTGATTACCCAAAAAATTCTGCAGACAAAAAAATAATATTTGAAAACAAAAGCAAAGGGATAATAATGCTTACTATCTATATTCTTTCACTGGCACTGGGATTACATTTAATTTTGTTTATTTTCCCAAGGTATCAAAGAAACTAGCTTTACTTACTTCAAGTTGTTCAAGAAGGATGTTTGTTCGTTTATTGATTTCACTCATCAAAACCATCTTGGCCATTTTTATTTCATTTTCTACCTTTTTGTATAAATGTTTCACTTCAAGCAACCTATGGGTAAGAGAGATACATCCCTGGATGAGATAACTGGTGTGGCATTTATTCAGACCTTAGTAGCTGTTTGTTGCAAGAACTGATCTAATCATTGACAGAGAACTCCAACGAAAGTTTTACCATTTCCCATAAGTTCTCCTACACTTCTCTTCCG